GCCCCCCAAAACGGCTCTTTTAAGAGCCACACAATCACCTCATAAAGAGCTCTGATTCTCATGTCACTCTGATGCACTTCGGGAAGGGGAGAGGGGAAATAAAAGACTACAATATAACTGCTTATGAAACACCACAGTTGATCACTTAAATCTTGGAAAATCTGCAACATACCGTTAATTTTTAAGACTATTAGTAAGATTAGACTATTGACACTTAAACATCAAAAGAAAACTTAAGTAATGCAAAATTGTTACACTTTTGATGCTTTAAATAGGCTTTAATATGATTTTTATATTTTTGTAGTTTGCTTTATTTTTCCAGTCTGATCCCCTCAGTAAATAAATGTGCTCACAGCAGGTTACTTGTACAGCGCAGGCTCAGGGGAAAAAAACAAAAACACCAAAACACATACAATCACGTGTGAGCAACAGCACAGTAACATTTGCATCGAGTGGTTTCTTTTGAAGCAGAATGAAGGGACTCTTAAGGCTTGTGTGTTGTGGTAATGCAGTATAATGTGTTTTTTTTTAATATCTGTAAATCAGTGATGGGATTTATCATTCACTTGTGAGAGCCAGTTCTTTGGCTCTCATTCACTTTGAAGAGCCGGTTCAAAGATGCGGTTCGTTCGTTCGTTGTTTCTTTTTTGTTTTTTGCTGTGTGTGTGTGGGGGGTTGTTAGTGGGTTCAACGACGAATCGCATTGCTGATTTATCACATCACGTGCTCTTGATATTGTAACGTGGACCCAGAATAGACTCTGCAGATATAAAGTTTGGTGTAGCCATAGCAACGCCCTTCATAAACAACACGCCTTTCAATACTCATTTAGCTAATTGTGCAGTCTGTTGTCAATACCTTAAACCATTTCACATGGTAAAACACAATTTGCAGATCTCACTTAGACTTTTCAGCAGAACTCTAAACACATTCTCATTCTCAAAACACATTCTGCACTCTAATGCACATGTCATCCATACTGGTAAACACAAGTGGCAACAATCAAATACAAATAGAGAACACATGTCATTGATTAAAC